GTGACCAACAACCAGAAAGGAGCCTGGCTCTTTGGGAGGAGCGAGAGGTGGGAGAGTCAGGTTTATGGAAACCCCTGCCTGCCCCCTTTAAAAACAGACATGGAGGTGAGTGTAGTCTCTGCAGAGGGTATAACACGAGCAAAGGCACTGAAGTAGGGGGTAATGTATGAACCAGCTCCCACCTATGAAGTTCCGACCATGAGATGGGCCTCCAGCCGGCCTCACTGCACGTTTCACTCAGTCCTACTCAACCCGGGCAGGTAGCTTCCTGCACATTAAAGGTGTCTTAAGAGTGAGGAAGGGAGGGTCAGAGACCCTAAAAGGAACCTGTGTAAAGTCTCATGGCTCCCAAGTGGCAGAGTTGGGGTGAGCACCCCAGTTTGATATAGCCATGGAGGGATGAGTCCAAGGATGCTCAGAGAGACTTTATTCATAACCCAAACCAGAAACAAGCCACGTGTCCATCAGTAAGAATGGGTCCATGTGGTGTGATAATGCAACGCAATATAATTCATTCATAAAAAATAACTACAGCCCTGGCCGGTTTGGCTCAGTGGATTGAGAGTTGGCCTGCAGATGAAGGGTCCCAGGTTCAATTCCAGTCAAGGGCATGTACCTTGGTTGTGGGCACATCCTCAGTGGGGGGTGTGCAGTTGATCGATGTTTCTCTCTCATCGATATTTCTAACTCTCTATCCCTCTCCCTTCCTCTTTGTTGAAAATCAATAAAATATATTTCAAAAAAAAAATAACTACAGATACAACATCGTGGGTAAATCTCAACAATATTATGTTGAGTGAAAAACCACACACAAGACCAGGCACCATATGCTTCCGTTCACATGAACTTCAAAGAACAGGCCAAATGAACGTGGTGACAGAAATGACAAAGTGGCTGCCCGAAGGGACTGGCTGGTAGGACTCCCAGGGGCACTCATGTCACATGTGTCTGTGTGGTCTGAATCCTGGGTAACGAGCATGTGTTTTTTTGTAAGCCCCCAAACAATAGACACTTTAAAAACAGGATTCTCAGTTTACAACATGCACTCAGTCCAGTCCAGGTCAGAGGCTCTTACTGGACCTAATGATGGGCCAGGCCTCAGGGTGGGGGGAGAGGGAGGCAGCTTCTATGTAGGAGAAGAGCAGAGGATGTACAGGCAGGGAGACCACCTGCTGTGTGGCCTTGGGAAAATCAAGGACTGTCTCTGAGCCTCATTCTTCTCCTTCACAAACATATGACAGTATCCATGAGAGGGCAGTGAAGGAACAGATGTGGAGGTCTGGGCTGAGGTCATGCCTGGGTATCATCTCCCTTACGGTGGGTACCGTGAGCATCTCCGTTTTACAGAAGAGGAAACTGAGGCTCTGAGAGGTGGACTGGAAAGTCCAGGTCACGCTAAGAGTAGGCAGCATGCAAATTCCGTCTGGGTCCCAGGTCAGAACCCTGAGCCCAGTCCTGTCTACACCCTCCTGCCCACCCCGTCCTGTGTCCAGATGGGGGTATCACGGTCTAGACTTGACGGTCGCCTCTGTGGCTCCTGAGTTTGTCATTTGTCTTTCCCACTACAAGGACAGGTCCACCGGGCAGGGGCTTTGCTTTGCTCACTGCCATGTCTCAGCAACTACAACTGTGCCTGGCACAGAGCAGGTACCACATGACCATTTTCTCAGTGAATCGGTGAAAAGAATGAAAGCATTCCCTAGTGAAGAACCAAAGAAAGTGGCCTGGGGCTCATGGAGGTAAAGAGGCAGCCCTTCAAGGTCACAGGGCTGAGCAGGCCCTGGACCAGACTCCTCACTCCCAGCAAGCCCCGCTTCTCCCAAATACAACAGCCCCGGTTTGTCCACACCGCTGTCCTCTGTCACCGGAGACGCAGGAAGAAATCAGTCTGGTGCAGGGAAGGGTCAGGACAAAAGGGAAGATGCTCCAGTGATTTCTGGAGGGCTTCTGCCTGCAGTGCCGCTCATGCCTGTTTCTCAGTGGAAGATGAGCGCCTGTCACCTGCTCACAGGAGGTGAAAAAGGATTCTGGGAACAAGCAGAGTTGGTCCTGCCTGCCTCTCTGCTCCCTCAGGAGAGGCTGGGCTGACCTGCAGTGCTGAGGTGCAGCCAGTCAAGCCTGTGCTTGGAGGAGAATGTGAGGAGGTCTGACCAACAGAACCACAGGGTCAGAGCTGGGAGGCCCCTGTTTTTCTGACACCATCACTATGGACTGGGTGGGAGCCCAGAGAAGAGGAGTCTGAACCTGGGGATTGCTCAGCTCAGGGCTGTCTCCTCCCTAAGCCCAGGGACACCAGGGGAGGTTCTGTCTTCTCCACTGGGTATCCGCTCCCATTACTGTGTTCTGGCCATAGGAACCGTGTTTCTACATGCATAAGATTGCCAGGTAATCCAAGCAGGGCTGCCAGTTCTGGCCACAGAAGTCTAGGAGAGGCCTATGGCCACTGGGTCCCACTAACTGCCACTGCTGGTCGGGGACCTGGCGGGCACCAGGCCTGGCTTCTCAGGAGCCAGAAGAGGCCGATAGGAGAGGTGGAGCAGGAGGCAGCAGGTGTGGGAGCCGGAGCGTGGGAGCTGATAGCACAGCGTCTCTGCTATTAGACTCCGTGTGGGTCAGGAGCCTGGGGCCTGGGCCTTCAAACAAGAAGAGTCCTGCGAGGTGTCTAATCCCCACATCAGTCTAGGTAATTACCAGTTAAAGCCACTCTCACTGAGAGTTCTGCTAGTGCAATTAGTGTGTCAGAATAAAGAGGTCCTTCTGTCAGCTGGCCGGGCCCGCCCACAGCTGGGCTTCCACGGAACGAGGACCAGCTTGTTGCTCCCACAGGCCTGAGATCTTATGGGACACACAGAGATGGTGGAGGAAGAAGCTGCAGTTTGGGATCCTCAGCCTAGATGATGACATGGACATGCTGTGTGGCCTGGGCTGGCCATTCAACCTCTCTGAGCCCATGAAACGAGGCTGGTAAAACAGCTTCGCATGGAGCTGCATGGGTGAAACGGAGTTCTAGAGCTATGGGTGTTCAAATGCTGGTTTTCATTCTAAAAATTGGTGGAAACGCCTTTGCCTGGCTTTTAAAATCTGTGTCTGGGTTTCACGTGTGTTTAACACACATGGGGACGTTCCTGTCACATCTGACCCAGGGCTGGGCAGTAGCTGGGAGGGACCTGAGTCAGCGGCAAGGCCCAGGTTCACCCTCAAAGAGGCGCTGACTTTCTGCTCCTCCCAAGTATCAACCAGTCACACCACAACTCCTGGATGCACTGGTCACTAGGGCCCTTGTACAAGGAGGGGCCTGAGGCTCAGAGAGGGGCGGGACTGGCCTAAGATCACACAGCAGAGTCAGGAGGGAGCCACTCTTTCTGAGCTCAGGGCCCTGCTTGATTCACAGCAGCAGCTCCCATTAGGGCTGTGCACGCCTTGACCCAGGGGATGCCGGCTGAAGCAGGACATGGGCTGGGCGGTGACTCACTCTGGAAGATGGCTCCCTGGGGGGCATTTTCCCGGTGACTCCATCCACAGCTCGTCTTGGTCCCGAGCCCTGGGTCAGCTTGTCCCAAGTACAGAGCTCCAGCCTCAGTTCCACACACTCTCTGTCCCTAGTCCCCACCCTGCCCTCTAACCAGGAAGGCAGCATCCAGAACCAGTGACCCAAGCCCTGTGCCTGGCACTGGGCTCTCTGCAGAAGCAAACAGCTGCCTCCGACTGCTCATTGCCCCACCTCAGCCCACCACCAGCCCTCCCTGGCTGTCCCTCTTCCTGCCCTCCTGCAGAAAGCAAATGGCTGAGGACCTCACAATTCCTGCTGCTGCTCCATCCCCTGGGTTCCTCTGCCTGGACCACTCTGAAAGCTCCCTCCACCCTGAGAGCCTGGTGCCCCGATGAAGTACCAACCTGGGCCTGCCTGGCTGGTTACGGAGAGGCCCTGCTGTTCTGGGCGTGACAATGCCTCTCCCAGCCTCACTGTCCTCCTCTGGGATAAATATCCTGGCTGTTCCCTGGGCTCTTGGGAGGACTGGGTGAGGCTGTAGGTGGAGGGAGGCTGGTGGCCTTGGCATAGGTCCTCTCCCTGCTCCCAGCCCCTCAGCTCTCCCACCTCGAGCTGAGTTATAATTCTTGGGCCCACAGGACCAGTCTGGTGTCTTTCTGAGCCCAGACCGCTGCCCATCACTGGCCACAGACAGGAGGCAGAGGGGACAGGGGACAGATAGTCATGACTGTCCATTAAGGAGAGTTTAGTAAGGGAAACGGATATTTCTGAGAACTTTAAGGGTAAATGGCTCCAGATCTGGCTGCAGAGAGGAAAGCCGTGCTTTGCCTGGGAGAACAATGACGGTCCACGCTGTCCACCGGGCCACTCCACAGGCCTGGACACTCGCTGCCTGTGAAGCCGTGTCCCAGGCTCCGGGCGTGGTGGGTGACAGGACCACAGCCGCCCCCCTGAGCTGAGTCCCCGCCTTCCCACCGGACTGACCGCCACAGCGCCGCCTACAGGCTGCCGGGCGGCTGCTGTGGACTCAGGCCCCGGGCTCTCCTCTCCCGGGTCATCTTGGTGCTGTGACGGGCGTTCTGCCGTGAACTTTGTCCCTCTCCCCGGCTGCCCTATCTCAGCGACGGCATCACCGCTGTTTACTCATCGTCTCCGGGACCAGCCTGTCTTCCTGGCACTGCCCAGTGCACCTGCCGCCGCAGGATTCCGCCTCTGGGTGTGTTTGGCGGCGGTGCCGGTACTTGCCCCCGGGACTCCAATTCCTGCGTCCGCCCCGACGGCCCTCAGCTCACCGGCCCGCCCCGCGGACCCGGGGCTCCCGCTCCCCTGCGGGGCCCTGTCCCCCTCCCGGCCCCCCGGTCCCCGCCGGGCACCGCTGTCCAGGCTGGGCGCCGCCCCCGCCGCCGTGCTCCCGCCGAGGGGCCGCCCCGGGGCGGACCGGCTCCCGCCCCGCACGCGCGGCCTCCGGAGCCCCGGCCCCCGGGGTCCCGCCGCCCGGAGCCGCACTCACCCACGTTGACGAAGCTCATGACCAGGTCGGCGCGGCCCAGGCGCCGCTCGCGGGGGCCGCCGTCCTCGTCGTCGTCGCCGGCCATGGCGTGGTAGAGGTCCAGCATGAAGAGCGGCGCGGACGCGGGCAGCCGGGCGGCGGCGGGCGGCGCGCGGGGCCGGGGGCGGCCGGGCAGCCCGAGCACCGCCAGGATCTCGCGCTGCAGGTCGCGGCGCTCGCGCGGGCCCAGGCGGCGGGGCGGGCCGCCGGGCGGGGGGCGCGGGCCGGGGCCGCCGCCGCCGCCGCTCAGCGCGCACAGCGCCAGCCCCAGCAGCCACAGCGGCCCGGGGCGCGCGGCCATGGCGGGCGGGGCGCCGCGCTCACCCGACGGGCATCCGCTGCGCCGCGGCCCGGGCGGAGGCTCCCCCGACGGCGCGCGGCGGCCGCGCTGGGGGTCGCGGGACGGACGGGCGGGAGTTGCCCGCGGCGGCAGCGCGGTCCCCGGAGAACCCGCGCGGCACCTGTCGCGGCGCTCGGCCGGCGGCGTGGACGCCAACACCGAGTCAGAAGCTCCTCGGGGACCGCGGGCCGCGGCCACTGTGTCTGCGCCGCCGCCACGCAGTCCGGGCGCTCGGGGCGGTGCGGGCCCGCGAGCTCCCTCAGCACAACCCGCGGGCTCTGCCGCGCGCCCGTCGGCGGCCAGGTCCGGTGTCCGGCCTTCGGGTCCCGCCCTGGGGCCCGCCCCCTCCGGGCCTGACCAATGGGGCGCGCGGAGGGGCGGGGCCAAGGCCGGGAACCCACCTACCCGGTGAGAGCCGGGCGCTGTCATTGCCGTTGTGGGCGGTGCGCCCGGGAGGTGCGACCTGACGGGCGGTGGGCAGATCCGATCGGGGGCACGAGGACCAGCTGTCGGGTCGTCAGGGTCGTCCCGGGCGCCCTCGCAGCAGCTGGCCGCGCCATCGGGCGGTTCGGGGCCGCTGTCCGAGGGCTCAGGGTAGCAACTGGGTGCGGAGAAACCAAGAACCTGCGCTCCCGCGGGGCGTGTCCTTGAGCGGCCCAGCCAGGTGGAACCCTGAGTGTTGGTCTGGCCAGCGGGTGGCCCGGCAGCTCCGCCTCTGTGCGCTGTGCAACCCCGGGATCCGAAACGAGGCATCAGCGCCGTCGGGAAGGGCTCGGTGGGTGCCAGCCAGGCCCGGAGAGTGGGCGTCTTCTTCCACCAGCACAGCTGGGCCCAGGATCCCCGCCACCGCAGCTCCTGGCCGGCCTCCCGGCGCCTTTCCGCTGTCCCCTTGCATATATTCCTGGGGCTTTTCCCTCCTTGGTGACAGCTCAGTCTCTGCTCCCAGTGCGCCCACTCACCTGGCTCCCGCGTGCCCCAGCCAGAAGGGCAGTTCCACTGCTCCAGCGGCTGCGCCGTCACCGCCAGCTGTGCTCTCTGAGGATCCAGTGATGCTAGAACCAGGAGAGGTGCACCGGCTCCACCCCAGTGGAGGCCTCTGGGCCCTTCCTCAGGCCTGGGAACAGCCTTTGCGCATCTTAACTGTGAAGGCCCGTGGCATCTTCCACCCTTGGCAATGCTGGGCATTATTGTTAATTATTGCAAATATATAATTAAATAAAACCCTGCCAACATGCAGCAGTACAGCTCTCTGCTGTTGGGACGTGCACGTGGGGGCACTGCTGCCTGCTCTCTTCTTGAGCCCTCCCTCCCTTGGCTCCCAGGACCCCGCTCGCCTGCTTCTCTTGCTCCCCCTCCTGCCCGCTTCTTCAGCACGGACATCCCTTTGGCTCTGTCCACAGTCCTGTCCTCAGACTTTCATCCTGGGACTTTAGAGGCATTGAAGGTCGTGCCTGACTCCCCCATACATCCCAGCACAGACACCACTCCTGGGGGTGAGACGTTACATCCAGTCCCTGGTCAGACTGGTCAGCCAGAAACCTGGAGCCGGTGCAGGTGCCTCCCCCCTGGTGGCAGTTTGTCTACTGACTCTGCCTTCTAATGCTCTGAGCCTTCCACCGCCCTCCTACACCACGTGGTTCACTAGCATCTCCTTCCAACTGGCCTCCTTGGTTCTCATCCTATTCCCCATCTCTCCCTCCTCCCTCCTCCCTCCTCCCTCCTCTCTCTTCCATCTTCTCTCCTCCCTCCTCCTTCCTCTTTCCTCCCTCCCCAGAATATATTTCTCAATAAAAATCAAATGTCCATGATCTTTCACTGCTAACAGCATTTTCCCAAACTGGGGTGTTTGAGGTGTTTCCTACAAAAAGGGGTTTGGTAATTTCCCCAGGACACTGCTCATTTCCCCCAGGACAGCCTAAGGCAATCAACGTTTTGTAAGCTAGGAGAAATCCTGCAGGAAAGAAAACTGCTTAGCTTTAACTCTTCCCAATGCATTGACTATGACTTTGGGGATTTTTGAAGATCATATCTGGGGGACCAAGAGGGCACTATGTGATCAAGTGATAAGTACTCAGTGGTCTGGCATTCTCCCGCTGGTCCTTTGTTTTAATGATTCTTTATTGTTGAAAGTATTACATGTGTCGTGTGTCTCTCCCCCCCCCCCCCACCTTCACCACCCTATTGTCTGTGTCCATGAGCCATGCATTTATGCATACAAGGTCTTTGGTTGATTCCCTCTCCCCCCTTCCCTCCAAGATTCCGCACACTGTTCCATGCTTCCATGTCTCTGGATCCACTCTGTTCCATCGATTTATTTTGTTACTTTAATTCCACATATGAGTGAGATCATGTGGTTGTCTTTCTCTGACTGACTTATTTCAGAGTGCTAATGTTTTCTTTGTGAGGTAAGTATTTATTTCATTTTATGGCTGTGTGTGTTTTCATTTTCTCCCATCCACAGATCCTATTCATAATAAGAGAAGCCATCTTTGATCACTTTAGCAAGTTCAGTTGTAATTTTTGCCTGAGTCACGTGATTGCTTGTTCGATCTCCTCCAGGATGTTTTTTCATGTAAGGTGGTGTCCAAGTTACAATCAAAATCTTGTTTAAATCCTGGTCATCGATTTCATAATCTGAATCATTATCAGACCAATCAATAAATGTGTTTTTTTGTTGTTCTATTTGTTCCATCTCTTCATCATGTTTTTGTTCATCTGAAGGATAGAGTTGGTTTCCCTGTTCACAATCTTGTCTAGCCACTAAAAGTGTACACTTTGCTTCAGCCACATGGGATTACTGGGCCCCCTCACCTATCCTGCTGTTGACATTTCTGTTCGTCAGCACATGTGCTTTTCTTTACGGAGAACATCCAGATCCCCTTTGCCTCCCTGGCCCAGGATTCCATCTATAAAGGCTGTTGAAGCAACAACTTGTCTTCTCAGTGCTTCATGGGTAATTAAACCTCTCCTCCTCCCCCAACTCTCTCATTTGATCAATCTGAAGGGCATTCATTTGTTCACGTGCTTGCTCCCTCCACTTCCCCTCCCTGCTGTGAACTTCTTGAAGCAATGATTGACCTTTGGACCCAGTGTCAGACTCATTTTAGGGTCTCAGTAAATATTCGCTGAGAAAGCAGTAGCTTCCAACCATCATGAGTATTTCCATTGAGAATGTTCATTATTGAGTGGGAGCTTTGAGCTGAAGCAGGGAGCTGGGTTGGCGTGTGGGGGTCAGTGGCCAGCCAGGCTCCGTCTCTTAGCTATGTGACTGGTTTCCTTGCATTCCAGCCACAAATGCAAATCCACAGATTGTCACTACTGAAACCACAAAGTTACATTCATAATCTCCAAGATCTATTCTATATAGAATATAACAATGAAATAGCAATGTAAAATAATAGAACAGCTGGGATCGGTTTGGCTCAGTCGATAGAGCGTCGGCCTGCGAACTGAAAGGTCCTGGGTTCGATTCCGATCAAGGGCATGTACCTTGGTTGCGGGCACATCCCCAGTGGGGGGTGTGCAAGAGGCAGCTGGTCGATGTTTCTCTCTCATCGACGTTTCTAACTCTGTCCCTCTCAATTCCTCTCTGTGTAAAATCAATAAAATATAGTTAAAAAATAATAATAGAACAGTTTTTCATAAGAAAGGTACTACAGGAATGGAGATTATCCAATATTATTACTGACACCTTTATCCCCATCTTGTGATCTGAGGACCTGTTTAATATTATCCTGTCCTGGGTTCCTTTGTGGTTGTTGTTGTTAATCCTCACCCGAGGCTATTTTTTCTATTGGTTTTCTTTATTTAAATATGTTTGTATTGATTTTAGGGTGAGAGGAATAGACAGATAGAAACATTGTTGAGAGAGGAACATCATCAAACGGATGCCTCCTGCACACTTCTTCTGGGGACTAAGCCCACAACCCGGGCATGTGCCCCATGAATAGAACCAGCGGCTTCTTGGTTTCTAGGTTATCACTCAACCATTGAGCCACACTAGCCAGGCTTTCCATTGATTTTCGAGAGAGTGGACAGGAAGGGGAGAAACATCCATGTGAGAGAGGCACATCAATTGGTTGTCTCCCGCACTCTTCCCAACGGGGGCCAGGAATCAAGCCAGTCAACGAGGTACATGCTCTTGACAGGAATCAAACCTGAGACTTTTTAGTCCAAGATCCGAAACTCTAATCACTGAGAAAATCGGATAGTTCCTGTCTTAACTGTGTCAGACCCAGAGGCCACCATGGGGTAGACGCACAATAATGCCTCATTAAATAACTGCCAAAGGGTCTAAAAGGTGACTCAGTCACTTTCCTGGCTGGATGTACCTAGGATGTTGGGGAAATCCAGCTCACCGTGTTCCCAAGGTGTGCTTACATGGTAAGAAGAAACAAATAAATGTAATAAGATTGTTCTGTCTTCATGGGGAATCTATACCAATAGGTCAGGTCACCTATTAAAGGACTAAATGTTTCAATTAAAAGTCAGAGATTAGCCGAAACCGGTTTGGCTCAGTGGTAGAGTGTTGGTCTGAGGACTGAAAGGTCCCAGGTTCGATTCCGGGCAAGGTCATGTACATTGGTTGCGGGCACATCCCCGATAGGGGGTGTGCAGGAGGCAGCTGGTCAATGTTTCTCTCTCATCGATGTTTCTAGCTCTCTATCTCTCTCCCTTCCTCCTCTCTGTGAAATATCAATAAAAAAATAAAAAATAAAAAAATAAAATAAAATAAAAAGTCAGAGTTTACCCTGTTGGCATGGCTCAGTTGAGTGTATAACTATTAACCAGGAAGTCATAATTTGATTCCCAGTCAGGACACATGCCCAGGTTGCAAGTTCATTCCCAATGTAGGGCTTGCAGGAGGCAGACAATCAATATTCTCTCTCATCATTGATGTTTCTAACTCACTCCTTCTCCCTTCCGCTCTGAAATCAATTTATATATATATATATATATAT